GGGAGTATCCTTCTCCCTCTCCCTCTGCCCCTCCCTCCACTCGTGCTCACTCTCTCGCTCTCAGATCAATAAATAAAATCTTTTTAAAAAAATCTCAGTTCTCAAGGATGTTACAGGTGATGGAATTAGAATGTCACATTACTATTCATTTGTTTTATTCTACTCTTCACAACTATCTCAACATGATAGCACTTATTACTCCCTCACTAAAAATATGATTACTGAAAACAGTTTAAATTTGTTTCCAGTTTTTTCTTTGTCCATAAACTAGATATACTTCACTTAGAGAAGTGCTAATTAAACTGTTTTACAAATCACTTGGAGTACTCCCTTTCTTATGATTATGCTTTACCAGCTGTATACAAATTTGGGTTCATTTATTTCATTTTATTCATTTAACATTAAATCTCTTCTTTTAGGTAGGAAGAGTGGAATTTCTCCTAAAAAATCAAAATACATGACTCCAATGCAGCAGAAACTAAATGAAGTCTATGAAGCTGTAAAGAACTATACTGATAAGAGGGGTCGCCGCCTCAGTGCCATATTTCTGAGGCTTCCCTCTAGATCCGAGCTGCCTGACTACTATCTGACCATTAAAAAGCCCATGGACATGGAAAAAATTCGAAGTCACATGATGGCCAACAAATACCAAGATATAGACTCCATGGTTGAGGACTTTGTCATGATGTTTAACAATGCCTGTACATACAATGAGCCTGAGTCTTTGATTTACAAAGATGCCCTTGTCCTACACAAGGTCCTGCTTGAAACTCGGAGAGACCTGGAGGGAGATGAGGACTCTCATGTCCCAAATGTGACCCTGCTGATTCAAGAACTTATTCACAATCTTTTTGTGTCAGTCATGAGTCATCAGGATGATGAAGGAAGATGCTACAGTGATTCCTTAGCAGAAATTCCTGCTGTGGATCCCAACTTCCCAAACAAACCTCCTCTTACATTTGACATAATTAGAAAGAATGTTGAAAATAATCGCTACCGGCGGCTCGATTTATTTCAAGAGCATATGTTTGAAGTCTTGGAAAGGGCAAGAAGGATGAATCGGTAGGTTTTCAAAGCTATTTCTTTTTGAGGAGGTGTGATATTTAATGCAAAACAGAAGAAAAATCTGCTTTGATATACTGTTTCAGCTTAGGTACATGGTTACAGTTGGTGCAGTGCTGTTTTGAGTTTTTACTTGCCACAACATCTAGAGAGCAAGCATATGCTGTGGGGGAGAGCAGACACACTAGTGCATCATCTAGATCAGGGCCATTGAGAAGGAATACAGGACAAATTTGAAGATCTGTTGAAAAGCATAAACTCTTACAGTATTTTACAGAACATGTTTTTTTAAAGGATGAAATACTTATGATTAGAAATAGTAGTGTGATTTTTTTAAAATTTTGAGTTCAATCCAAGCATGCTTTGAATAAATTAAAATAGCTCTTAAGTTATTGATCTGAAGTTAGCCAATTTAAATCTGGTCACCATTTCCAGTTCCTAAAAAGTCTTCTTCTTTTTTTTTTAATCTCAGATTTCTCACTTTTAAGTGCCTTTTGCAGATAGTAAATATACTAAAAGAAGCAATCAAATTTAAATTTCCATCAAACTTGAATTCCCTTTTAATTCTGATCTGTGTTATATCTTCGCCACACAAGAATGATATAATTGACTTAAAACAATTTCAGTTTAGCAGTTACAGTGTGTCTTCTGTGTGCTCTTAGAGTCACTTGGGGGAATATAAAAAGTTAAAGATACAGACCCTACCTTCCTGGAGCTTATAGTCTACCATGCTGAAAGGAGACTTTTAAGCAGTGGGTGTAGACTAATTCCAGCTGGGGAATCTGGTGAAGCCTGCATTTGCTCTGGATCTTGAAAGAAAAATTAGTAGTAACATTTGCTGTTCCTATTTAGCACCTGCTCTTTGTAAAGCACCATGCGAAACACTTTATCTAGATAATCTCTCTTATAATAGCCATTCTAGGTGATAATCTTCCCACTTTGCATTTGAAGAAGTACGCAGACAGAAGTTATCTACAGTCACACAACTAGTAAGTGGGGCTGCTCATCTTGTTCCCTTACTGTAGAGCCAGGCACCAAGACACTAGTCACGGAGCCTAGCCATAGATGATCAGGCTTGTACTCTGTGATCTAAGAGCTCCAAGTCCGACAGCTGGGTTAGGACCTGTGCTTAGGGAAAAATAATTCCAGGCATGAGACAACATATAACAACTTGATATGTAGTAAAGATGGTGGAGTAGGAACTCTGTGCTAGAGTTCTGAAAAGACCTGAGGCATCAGGGGAGAATGGGAGAATGGGTGGGATGTAGAATAAGGCAAGTCCTTTGAGTGAAGGCACGGGGTCAGGAAATGAATGTGGTGTGTTCAAGAGATGGTAGAGTTGGGGTCAGATTGGAGAGGCACTTGAGTGACACATTAGGAAATGGCCTTAATGTTCAACTGCAGAGCTAGAAATGAAGAAAAAAATGGGGAGACATCTTGCAGTCAAAATTTGCGTTATTTTCACTTATTCAACAAATGTTCATTGAGTGGCTACCAGTTATAAGCATGTTCTAGATACTTGGGATACACCAGTGGACAAGACATACAAATCTTCTTTCATGGAGCTTAGACTTCATTTTTGTTCTCAGTTTTTCTTAAATAGTTCTTAAGTCTAAAGTCACTCCTCTCCTCCACCTCTGCCCCGCCCCCCTTACATCTTGAGGTTAGTTCTGTGAGTCTTCCAAAAGTGCATTTGTCTCTGAGATCATTAGCAACTTTTTCTATCTTATATAGATGGTGTGTCTATTTTAGGAAATAAGCAGATTGTATCTCTAGGAAATGAGCTCTTTTCATTCTCCCATTGTTGACATGATTTGCTTTTGAGGCCCGGAAGGTAGAGTCTTGGATGCATTTATTTACATGAGGCAGTGATGAGTTTCACTCTTGTGCCCAGAGCCTTGTAAAACTAAGGGAAGCCATTTGAATGAAGGTCTTATTATGACTGCTTACGGTACTTAAGCATAACCCCATGCTGCTGAGGTGGAGATGCATCAATTTAGTGAATGATAAACCATCGTTTTATCTGTTTTGTCAGTAATGAGGATAGATATCTCAAAAATACTAAGTTGATGAATTTAATGAAGTCCATAGGCACTAGATTTCTATTTTGATTTTTAACAGTGTTCATGCCTCTTCACACTCACCCCTATCCACCACTGCCACTCAACATCACCTAGGACCTCACACCCTGAATAGAGGGAGTCTGAAAAGTGAGGCATAGAAAAGTTCATTCAGGGGATGGTGGTTTGTCCATCAGCAGTATTCAGTAACAGCACGGCACTGACTCATGCCAGTTAGCCACTGGCTTTCCTAATGTGCTGGCAGCATTCCTGAATTCAGTTCTCGGACTGCCTTACAGGAAGGGGGACCCTCAGGAAGACAAGGAAGGACAAGGGAAGCACTAAGAGCTTCCTGTACTCTTAATTATGTCGGTCTACTGGATGTCTGCCTTGTAAAGATCACCCGCCAGCTAAGGGGGATTCAGAGTTGTTTTCTTTCTCCATCTTGGGTTTTTGTTCTTATGCGTGCAGGCAACACTGAGCCTCACAGATTAATTAATAAATTCTTCATATTACTTTGTTTAAATAAAACAGGGAAGTCAGATGGTTAATGGCTGTGTACAGAACTTCCATTACTAAACAACATGACCTGGTGGAATTATGAATCTGCCCTTTCGTTGTAACAGGGATTACCAAGAGTGTGTCTTCACTTTTAATTTTATATTTAAAATTGTAAGCTATTATAAAATGAATTTTAATGTCAAGTGAACAGTCTTAAGACCTCTCTGTTCAGAAAACAGGTATCAGAATAATATCATAGGAGTTTCTTCCCTTGACCAGTTTTATTTTTATTGCTTTCCTGTAAGTATTAGCATTTCTGTAACCTGAAAAGATTTTTAAAACCTTTCCAGAAACATTGATTTAGGTTGTTATTGGCAGTGTTTTTAGACTGTTTGCCAGTTCACTTTGGCTGATGGGGAGAAGCATTCTGGAGGTTTCACTAAAATTTGATGCTCTAGTGGTGGTTATCAGCAGGCAGCTGACTAGGCTTGCTATGCCTGCCACGCCCCCCTGACTAGAATGTCCCTAACTGCTGCTAAGACTTTGTGGTTACTTTGTGAATCATTTTTCAGACACTGGTATTCCTAGTTAATGGAATTATGTTTAAGCCATCCTCAGACCACAGTGGATTAGAGATAGTAAGAGAACTTCTTCCAGTCTGAATTCTGAAGCTGATCTTGCCCAGTCCTGTCTTCTCATTCTGTAAATGCGGAAAGAGCCTTTAAAAAGCTTTCAGTGGGGATCACTCGGGCGCCTGGGTGGCTCAGTCGGTTAAGCGGCTGCCTTCGGCCCGGGTCATGATCCCAGGGTCCTGGGATCGAGTCCTGCATCGGGCTCCCTGCTCAGCGGGCAGCCTGCTTCTCCCTCCCCTCTCCTTCTGTTTGTGCTCTCTCTGTCAAATAAATAAAATCTTTAAAAAAAAAAAAAAAAAAAAACTTTCAGTGGGGCGCCTTGTTAAGCAACTGCCTTCGGCTCAGGTCATGATCCTGGAGTCCCGGGATCGAGTCCTGCCATCGGGCTTCCCTGCTCAGCAGGGGGTCTGCTTCTCCCTCTGACCCTCCCCCCTCTCATGTGCTCTCTCTTTCTCTCTCAAATAAATAAAATCTTTTAAAAAAAATAAATAAAAATAAAAAGCTTTCAGTGTGGCAGATAATTTTTTCCCCATCTTTCACTATGTTGCCTCTGCTGGTTCCCCAGCATTATGTAGTCATTTCTGGGAAACTAACATGAACACTGACTTTGAGGCCCGTAACTGTTATAGGATGCTCATGACTTTGTAGTTTAGGGTCAAATATTTGCTGGGGCCTACCAGCCTAGGCAAGCATGATAGAGATTCAAAAAGAAGAAAGTGGACATTGCCTAAATCTTTTGTCAATAGTTTGTATAGTGTGTTGGTCCCTTGGTTAAGAGAAAGTAAAAATCCAAGGATTAGATACAAGTAGGTGTCGTGGTGTGGAGCCTCAGTGTAGTCCTTGATTTTGACAGTCCCCCGCCAAATGCCAAAATCAACGGATGCTTGAGCCTTGTTTCTCCCCAGAAAACTGTATGAGGCCTTTTCTTTTACATGAGCTGTACAAGGAGTGAGCCTTAAGGAAGAGGAAACTGGTGGGCATGAGGCTCACCGAGGTAACAGCACTTCAGATTCTGTTCTAAAACTTTCAAGGAGACACCCTGCTGTACAGAAGTACCATTACATCCATTAATGTGTTATGGAAGCATGGGTAGAGTTAAACATATAACTGAGGTGTGTGAAAGAAGCAACTTGTATGTCAATGGGTGCTCTTGATGCCCTTATAGGACAGATTCCGAAATCTACGAGGACGCGGTAGAACTGCAGCAGTTTTTTATTAAAATTCGTGATGAACTCTGCAAAAATGGAGAGATCCTGCTTTCACCAGCACTCAGCTATACCACAAAACATTTGCATAATGATGTGGAGAAAGAGAAAAAGGAAAAATTGCCAAAAGAACTAGAGGAAGATAAACTAAAACGAGAAGAAGAAAAAAGAGGTTGGTTTCTTTTCATTTTATTAAACATGAAAACATGTTACACTCTGTTCTAGTTCTGGCTCTCCTAGCTAGCTGTGGGGATGAATCCTGTCTGTAAATGTTGCCTCTTTCAGAATGGCCATGTTGTGATAGAGATGCTTTTATCATCATCGGTTTGGTCATCAGACTGTTAAAAATTGGAAGTGCTGTGTGACACAGCTGTTGCCCTAGTATTTCAGGAACGGTCAGTTAGCTCACAAGTGTGGGAGCTCACCAGGTCAAAATACTGTTGGCAGATAAACCTGCGGGGCCTGTCTGGACCCGGGGAGCATTCGCAGCAGTGAATGCATCAGGGTTCTGCCCTGTCATGTTGCCGGATGGCTTTCCTCCTGCAAACTCGGTCCAGAGTAGGTGATATTGAACCACAATACTGGGAGGAAATTTTTATTTTCATTTTATCAATGCAAAAATGTTACTTTGAGTCCCTTGCCAGAACTTAGAAATATTTTGACAGTGGGAACTTTTATTAGAAATTTGGTCATTTTAGGGACACCTGGGTGGCTCAGCTGGTTAAGCGTCTGCCTTCAGCTCGGGTCGTGATCCCAGGGTCCTGGGATCGAGTCCCACATCAGGCTCCCTGCTCAGTGGGGAGCCTGCTTCTCCCTCTCCCTCGGCTTGCTGCTCCCTCTGCTTGTGCTCTCTCTGTCAAATAAATAAAATCTTTTAAAAAAAGAAACTCGATCATTTCTGGACCCGCTGGAGTCACCGTCATGGCCGGCCTGTTAGCGCTGGCACCAGTGGCGCTGCTGGTGGCACCAGCATGGGGCTGGGGCAGCCAGGATCACCGGGACTGGGACACCGCTGCGCCACTGCCCCATGAAGGCGCCGAGCACGTGGTCCACTTTGTGACTTAAGTATGTGACTGGGGCACACTGGCCACACTCTCCAGAGAGGAGGCAGTGCACAGCTAGGCCTTTGTCGATGTCTTCTCGCTTGGCGATGGGCCCCCAGGCATGGGCAGCAGCATGCCCTACTTCTGCCTGAGCCCACTGCAGCAGTTGGTAGGCAACCCTCAGGAGAATCCACATGCTATGCTGACCATGTCTTTGGCATAGACTAACTTCTGCAGGAAGCATGTATTTGATCCCCAAGTCCCCTCTCTGCTCACATAATACTGTCAGGAACTGTTACTAATGTGAATGAAATGGAAATGGACTTTGCCAGGCATTCACTGTTCATCCAGCACCCTGAGTTGAAAACCTGGCCTTCCAGCCATAATTGGTTCTTTGCTACGTTGAGTTTAACCAACATCTGGATCCTGGACCACTTTGGTGGACCAAAAGTAGTGACACCTGAAAATACTATAATGTCACATTTTAGTGAAGTAGAATGCAGCAAATTTAACAGCACCAATGAGCTTACTTAGGATGGTTCATACAGACTTTAAGGGCTTAATGTTTCTCTGTGGAACACTTCCCAGATTAACCAGTTTTCTTTCACATGCTGGTTTGTTTGCTTGCTTGCTTATTTGTTTACAAAGTAGAATTGGACTGTTCCTGGATTTCTTGGAAGATGTGGTTTTTAGACTTTTTTTTTCATAGTTTGAAGCCATTTTCATAGAGGTGTGTCTTTCATTGTAAGTATTTTTGCTTCTAGTTTTCCGGCGGTGCTCCTTTGAAGAGGAGCCAGTGCCAGATTTAGATTGCCCATTGGCATTTGACGGTACTCAGAGATGTGTCCTTAATTCCTGGAAGCCACTGTGCTAGAGAGGGGGCCTCACTCACCCACGGCTGCACCTGCGCGCCTGCATGTGTGTGGCTGAGACAGACCGTGGTGAGAGACAAATAGAACTTCCTCCTCGTGGTCCCTCTGTGTCTGACAGGCCTAGGTGTTGTTGATCCAACATAGGGCAAAACCATTTCTTATAAAGAATTTCTCTTTTCACTTTTCACATCTAGAGTAATAATTACCTAGAACAAAAGAAGCTCATAAAATGTTTCCTGAATTTGATTTCCCCACATAAATGGACATGGTATAATCAGTGTCCTCCACTCAAAGCACACACATACGCACATGTACACATTATTTTATTTTATTTTCTATTTTGCCCCCAAATGGGCTTGCAGTAGAAAAAAGAAGGATGCAGGGAATTTTGTGTAAGTCAGTCATTTCCAGTGTTCTTTTGTAAGTAAAGTTTACCAGACATGGACCAGCTTAAGCCAGGCCGCAAACTCCCTGCTCCCAAGTGCACTCAGTAGCTTTTTAAGCAGTGCTGCTCTCAGCAGTGGCCTAAGGCTTCCTCAACTGCTGTAAATCTTTAAAATAGCTCCCGTGCTGTTACTACCTAAATGAGGTCATCAAGGAGAAGATAACATGACTTAAAAAAAAAAAAACCACATTTCTTCAGAAAAGTGCCCATTAACTAATGAATAAATAAAATGTAGTCTATGCACCCAGTGGAGTGTTATTCACCCATTAAAAGTAATGAAGTTGTGATGCATGCTACAACACGGATAAACCTTGAAAACACGCTAACTGAAATAGCCAGGAAAGGACAAATATTGTATGGTTCCACTTATATGAGGGACCCAGAGTAGCAAATTCAGAGACAGAAAGTAGAATAGAGGTTACTAGGGCCTGGTGGAGAGGAGAGATGAGTTAGTACTTAACAGGTACAGAGCTTCTGTTTGAAATAAAGAAAAAGTTTTGTAAATAGATAGTGGTTATGATTGCACAATATTATGAGTGTAATTAATGCCACTGAATTATCTCCTTAAAAATCATCCAAAAATGGCAAATTTTATGTAGTGTATTACCATTTTTAAAAAATTAATAACATACCAAGAAACTGAATTGTACACTTTAAATAGGGGAATTATATGGTGTGGGAATCATATCTCAATGAAACTTTAAAAACAATGATAGCAGAGGGGGGTGGGAGCAAAAAGAAGACGGTGTTTAATGGCACAAACTTGTAAGGAGTCGTAAATAGCCACGGAGTGCTAAAGCACACTAGAATGAAGGTAGACCACAGTATCTTACATGAGGAAGTGCTGTGATAAATATCACTCCAGTGGGGCGCCTGGGTGGCTCAGATGGTGAAGCCTCTGCCTTCAGCTCAGGTCATGATCCCAGGGGCCTGGGATCGAGTCCCGCATCCGGCTCCCTGCTCAGTGGGGAGCCTGCTTCTCCCTCTCCCTCTGCAACTCCCCCTGCTCATGCTCTCTCTCTCTGTATCTCTCTGTCTCAATAAATAAATAAATCTAAAAAAAACGACTGTGTGTTTAAAAAAAATTTATCACTACAGTGGCAACAAATACAAATGTATCAAAGTAACTGTATAACCTAAGTTGACCCATTGTTTTATGTCAAATTGATTCAGTTTAAAAAAATTTTTAATGATGGCAGAAAGGAAACATTTAGAGAAGGATTAGAAGATGAAGAAGAAATCTCCAAGGCAGGGCGCCTGGGTGGCTCAGTTGGTTAGGCGACTGCCTTCGTGGAGTCCCAGGATCGAGTCCTGCATCGGACTCCCTCCTCAGCAGGGAGTCTGCTTCTCCCTCTGACCCTCCCCCCTCTCATGCTCTATCTCATTCTCTCAAATAAATAAATAAAATCTTTAAAAAAAAAAAAAAACTCCAAGGCAGTAGAACAACAAACAAAGAAGTAGAAAGATAACCAGGAGATCATCCCAAGAGGCCCAGAATCCAAGTGATTGCAGGGTACAGTTCTGCCAAGCTTTCTGCCACTATATAATGAGGATCTCCTTTCCAGTAACACATTCTTCATTTCCACCTGTCCCTTCTGCTGCCAAGTCCTTAATGTCCGTTTCTCTGCCATAGTCTGTTCAAAGCAATGGAGGCTTTTTCTCTTAAAATTCTTAGAAAGTTTGTTGTTTCCAAAGGAAAAAAAAATTCTTCCAGTCTCTGTTCTTGCCCAATTCCAGAGTCACTTCCCTATTTTTTAGGTGTTTGTTGCAGTAACACCCCTCTACCAGGTATCAAAATCTCATCTAAATATATCAGCTTTATGAGCTCAAAAGTCTTAAATCTTATATAAATCATTTAAATAGGTATATATGGGTGGGGCTCTGGGTATGATCCCTCCTGGGACATAATTCCTCTCCATCTGTGGACCTGTAAAACTAAAAAACAAGTTCTTTGCTCCTACAATATAGTGACAACATGAGTGGGATGAGAGAGATTCTCATTCAGAAAGGGAGAAATGGAGAGGAAAGGGTCATTTGAGTTCAAAGCAATCTTGAAATCCAGCTGGGCAGAGTCATTAGGTTCCAAGTCCAAGAAATAGTCCTCTGTGGCTCAGCACTCTGCCCTCCACATCACCCTTTTTCATGAAAGGTAGCACATGTTTGCAGCTGAGTAGTTTTAGCAGCCTGTTTCCTGTCTAGAATTTTGGGGGTTTAGCTAACACTCTGATTTTGTACTTTCTCTGTCTCTTTCCATTCAGTTGACAGTGTTCCTGCTGGTGTATGACCTCAAGAACCTTGTGAATCTCTTGATATCTTATAGGGATTTATTTGGCTAATCAAATACTAGATGACATTTTCCACCAAACTTGGCAAAACTTAAAAAATGATGTGGGGCCCGTAGGTGGCTCAATCGGTAACGTCTGTCTGTGACTCAGGTCATGATCCTGGGATCCTGGGATTGAGCCCCACGTCAAGCTCCCTGCTCAGCAGGAAGCCTGCTTCTCGCTCTCCCTCTGCTCCTCCCCCCTGCTTGATGCTCTCTCTCACTCTCTCTCTAGCTCTATCTCGCTCAAAAAAATCTTTTTTAAAAAAGCATTTAAAATGCTTATTTCTAGGGCGCCTGGGTGGCTCAGATGGTTAAGCATCTGCCTTCGGCTCAGGTCATGATCCCAGGGTCCTGGGATCGAGTCCCGCATTGGGCTCCCAGCTCCTTGGGAGCCTGCTTCTCTCTCTGTCTCTCTGTCTCTCATGAATAAATAAATAAAATCTTTAAAAAAATAAAATAAAATAAAATAAAATGCTTATTTCTAGCTGTTGCATTTATAGAAAGTTATCATAAGGAAATAATTGGAAATGTGGGCAAATCTTTATCCTCAAAAACACAAAACCCTGGGGCACCTGGCCAGCTCAGTTGGTGGAATGTGCAACTCTTGATCTCGGGGTTGTGAGTCCAAGCCCCATGTTTAGTGGAGAGATTACTCAAAAATAAAATCTAAAAAAAATCCTATGGTATTTGCAAAAGATGGCTTGCATAGTAGCCATCAAAATGTATTATTTAGCAAAAATAAGTCTTGTTGAAAAAGCATTAATCTCAGAAACTGTTGAGTGTATATTATTATTATTATTATTTACTTATTTATTTTAAATAATCTCTATCCCCGACCTGGGGCTCGAACTCCCAACCCCAAGATCAAGAGTTGTATGCTCTTCTGACTGAGCCAGCCAGGCACCCCTGTTCAGTGTATCTTCAGTGTAGACATAATATAGTTTACATTATATTGTTTGATACACATATTCCATATTTTTTCATTTCTAAGATTCCATTTGACATACCCATATAATAACTGTTGGGAAAAAAATTTCAGAGGCATTAAGATGGAAGGGAAGTACATATGAGATCATTTCCAGGATTGCATGATTTACAGGTGACCTGTTTTCTCTTTACCTTTCTTTATCATCCAGAACGACTACATTGAGCATATATTATTAAGATGGTTATTTTTACTGTGTAGATCCTTTGTCTGTTTATACATTTACTTAAATTAAGGGCAGTTGGTTGTAACTCAAAAAAAGGCAAGTTTGAGTAGAGGCTCTTGGGAATACAGGTATCATACTGTTTGTCCTGAATCCTGCCCTTGAAGGTCTAGGAAAGAATGAGATGTATTAGTATGTGTTGTTTGAATCCTACATCTGATTCCCACATCCCATTAATGGGAACCTTTTTGTCTTCACCAAAGAAGCTGAAAAGAGCGAAGACTCCTCAGGCGCCGCAGGCCTCTCTGGCTTACACCGCACGTACAGCCAGGACTGCAGCTTTAAGAACAGCATGTACCATGTCGGAGACTACGTCTATGTGGAGCCCGCAGAGGCCAGCCTGCAGCCACACATCGTCTGCATTGAAAGACTGTGGGAAGATTCTGCTGGTAAGTGTGTTTTAAATCAAAGGGCAGATGGTGAGCTGGGACTATTTTACTCCTCCTTGGTCCTCAGGGAAGAAAATTGTAACTGAGACATGTTATGCCTTGCAACAATAGTCGTTCTGCAGTGTTCGGTAAATAGAATTAAGCACCCACTATATGAAAAACATAGGATCTAGTACTCTTGGGCCCATGAGTGGCACAGTTGAGTCAAAGGAAACGCAACTTCCTGAAAGTGAGGCTGAGATTCATTCACTCAACTGCTGTTTCTTTAAAACACACAGTAAGCCAAACTGGAGGATGGCAGAGCCTCACAAGAACTAAAGGCTCGTGTTTTGCCCCTGGCAAAACCAGTCTGGTACAAACCACAAATAAAAAGGAAATTATTATAGTGTGACATGTGCCTTGGCTTAGAATTGGATTTCAAAAAGGCGTCCTAGAACAGTTGCCTTTCACTTAAGACATGGAGAACAAATAGGAGTTAATTAAGCCAGAAGCAGACAGAAATGTGATCCAGACAGTCCAGTTCCCTCAGCTGCTCCTCATGAAGTACCTTTGTATCCCTTCTCCTAAGTGCTAAATGCGTCCTTGATATGCTTTAGATGCTCTGTCCTTAGCATAAGCACACAGTCTTGAGTGTGTCCTGGGCCCAGCAGACTAGGGCAGGTCTCATCACCTTCTTCATCCTGTATTTTATACATTTTTAACATGAGGGGGAAAGTAGCATTTTTTAGGCCTCATTATACTTCATTACTTTAAAGTATCATTTCTTCTAAGGTAACTATTTTAAGAAACTGTGGCCTAAAAAGCACATTGTTAGGTTCAGGCCATGGCAGAGTGGATGGAGAATTTGCTCATTTTGCAAAGAATGTGTGATTTCTGTTAATGGTAATTTCCCCTCTCTCTCCCTTTTTGTTTTTGAGGTGAAAAATGGTTGTATGGCTGTTGGTTTTATCGGCCAAATGAAACATTCCATCTGGCTACACGGAAATTTCTAGAAAAAGAAGTTTTTAAGAGTGACTATTACAATAAAGTTCCCGTTAGTAAAATTCTAGGAAAATGTGTGGTCATGTTTGTCAAGGTAAGAAACTCATTAGGCTCCAAAGTACAAATCATTCCATGAAAATAAAATTTACAAACACAAAAAATTGGTATTTATAAATTAGGCACTCTGTTTTAAACCTTGATTTTTTTTTTTTTTTAAGCTGTGTCTATATGGCATTCGATAAAGATTTGGGAGGAAATTAATCTGATCATGATGATGAAAGACCACCATTTGCTGCCAACACTATATAGCTATATGCAGTTAGCTTAAATTTTTTTATATTGCCAGGCTAATTTTGAGGGTGACGTTTTCTGAAAGATCATTAAAAATTGTCAGTGTGCTTTTTAGGTATAATAAAGTATACTTTTTATGTATCTATGTGATATAGGTACATTGAGCCCTGCCCAAAGCTTTTAGGAACATTATAGCTGTATGAAATGCTAATATATTTTCAAAAGGACAGTTGGTAAGCTAAGTATTTATATTTAATAAGGCCCTTCTGTAGCAGGGAGATGCTTTTACGTTGCTAACCATTTACTGTTTGTTAACTGTCAGAAAGTCTTAACAGGTTAACATTTGTTTGCTTGACGGACGTGTAGCTTTGGTTTTTTTGGTTGACTGGTTTTCAGAAAATTCACCTAATAATCTTATTCTTATGTCTCCCAGGAATACTTTAAATTATGCCCAGAAAACTTTCGAGATGAGGATGTTTTTGTCTGCGAATCACGGTATTCTGCCAAAACCAAATCTTTTAAGAAAATTAAACTGTGGACCATGCCCATCAGCTCAGTGAGGTTTGTCCCTCGGGATGTGCCCTTGCCTGTGGTCCGAGTGGCCTCTGTATTCGCAAATGCAGATAAAGGGGATGATGAGAAGAACACAGACAACTCAGAGGACAGTCGAACAGAAGACAGTTTTAACTTGGAAAAGGTATGTAGCTAAAAGCCACACAGAAAAGAATTTTACATTTCAAAATACCTATTCCAGAAAATAAATGAATAAAGTATCAAATTCAGAATGAAAAAGAGAGGGGTGCCTGCGTGGCTCAGTCGTTGAGCGTCTGCCTTCGGCTCAGGTCATGGTCCCAGGGTCCTGGGATTGAGCCCCGCATCAGGCTCCCTGCTCAGCGGGAAGCCTGCTTCTCCCTCTCCCACTCCCCCTGCTTGTGTTTCCTGCTCTCGCTGTGTCTCTCTCTGTCAAATAAAATCTTTTAAAAAAAAAAAGTGAAAAAGAGCAACAACATAAAACCTTAGCCAAACAGAAAGAAGGGGACTATAGAAGGACAGAAATTAATACTTAGAAAACCAGTAGAACTGAAAAATAGAATTTAAAAATAAATCCAAGTGCTAATTCTTCAACAAGTCCAGCGAGATAAACTACCAACTATCCTAATAAAAAAGGAAGGCAGTTAAGCTCAGACATACAAATGTGGAAGAAATTTAAAGACTTGTACATTTCTGTTAATAAAGTTGAAAGCCTGAGTAAAATGAATAATTTTCTAGGACACTATAAATTACTGAAGAATCAAGAAGAGATGTAACACGTAAGTGGATAACAACAAGAAGGAATTCTTAAAAAATGTTCTGAGAGCTAATCACAGAGTACTCAGGTCAGATAATTCCATGGGTGAATTCTTTTAACCCTTTAAGAGACCTATAATTGTAATACTGTTTAAATTATTTCAAAGCATGGAGAACAAAGAAAACTTCCCAGTTTATTTTACAAAATGAGAATAATCTTAATTCCGAAGCCTGACAAAATTAAAACAGAAAAGCTATAGTTCAGTCTAACTGATGAATATTGATGCAGAAAATACTTAGAGAAAATGTATTTTTTAAGTGAAATCAAATTAGTTACTTGAGAACAATATGACCGGGGCACCTGGGTGGCTCAGTCGTTAAGGGTCTGCTTTTGGCTCAGGTCATGATCCCAGGGTCCTGGGATTGAGCCCCGCATCAGGCTCCCTGCTCAGCAGGAAGCCTGCTTCTCCCTCTCCCACTCCCCCTGCTAGGCAGGGAGCCTACTACTCCCTCTGCCTCTGCCTCTGCCTCTCTCTCTGATTCTCATGAATAAATAAATAAAACATTTAAAAACAAAAACTGTATGTTTACATACACGACTATAAAAGCAGTGTGGAGAACTGCTGTGTGCTGAACCAGGTGTTTATCTCTGGGGTTGGATCACAGAAGATTGCCTTTAAGTTTTACATGCTCTAATGTTTGAATCGTTGCCCACAGATATAGTTCTTTTATCTAGTCAAAAAAGATAAAGCTTTTAAATTGTTAATATAAAAATTGGAAAAAATCGACTTCTTCGTGTCTTAGGAAAGAAATACATTTTAGTGTCCTAATAGTGTTACAAGAGAAAGGGAGCTTGGGAAAAAACATGATATTTTTTACATTTCACCAGTATGCCTGGGAATCATAGAGAAATTAATTTTGAAAGAATAAGAAATACCAGTGGAAGCGAACATGAGAATTAACGCAGATTTCTTATTAGAATTCATAAGTCTCCAGGGTCCTCTCTGTGCACACGTTTTGTTTTGTTTTGTTTTTGTCTCTTTATTTTAATACTGCCTGGCTGAAACAAGTCATTCCTGGAACTTTTTAAAAGAATACCTTCAGCAGGTAGAGCATGCAGCTCTCATTCTCAAGGCAGAGAGATTACTTTAAAAAAAAAGAACTTCAGAACAGAATCCATTCCTAAAAGAAAAAGTTACTCTTTTTTTTTTAAGATTTTATTATTTGACACAGAGAGAGAGAGAGAGAGAGTGTGCACGCACACAAGCTGGGGGAGCAGAGGGAGAGGGAGAAGCAGATGCCCCGCTGAGCAGGGAGCCCAATGTGAGGCTCAGTCCCAGGACCCCGGGATCATGACCTGAGCCAAAGGCAGATGCTTAAACAACTGAGCCACCCAGGCACCCAGAAAAAGTTATTCTTAATTTCAGGGGCTACTTTATAGCTCCCATTCCTACAGTTTCCCCTCACCCATTATATGTGTGACCTCGCTTATTCTTAAGGATTTTCCAGGAGACCATTTATATATCACATTTGAAGTCAGAAAGATCAAAACAAATTGTTTGGACCTTCTGAAGGAGATTTTTCTTTTTTTCGGTTTGAAGTTTCAGATATTCTCAGGGAGATGCAGTAGAAAATATTGGGTTCTGGAGTTGCCTCAGCTTTTATGTGTTTTGGAGTTAATATGTTTAAAACACCTCATGCTGTGCCCACTTTCTGCATCAGATCAGAACTGTCTTTTTTTCTTTTTTTTTTTAAGATTTTCTTCATTTATTTGAGAGCACTCGGAAGAGCAGGGGGAGGGACAGGCTGAGGGAGAAGCAGACTCCCCGATGAGCACAGAATCCAACACGAAGCTCCATCTCAGGACCCTGAGATCATGACCTAAGCCGAAGGCAGACCCTTAGCTGACTGAGCCACCCAGGCACCCCTTTTTCTTTTACTTTCTTTCTTTTTTTTTTTTTTTGCCCAAACTATAAAACAACAATAACGAATGGGTGTTCAAGTGCTTTTCATAAGTCAGGCATTGTTCTGTACATTTAACTGGAGTGTGTCATTGGAGCTTCTTCCTAAAGCGCCATCTGATGGGTGCACTGCCTTCATTTTACAGATGACCTAAGAGGTCAGGTAATTTGCCCAGTGTCACAGCAGCCAGGAGGTGACACACCTTGTAATTTATTCAGAAACAGAGTGTATGTGTTTATGTCACAGAGGCTGTACTATTCCTTTCCATTCCAGAATAAATCAAAATGATAACAATTTTATTTTTTTTAATTATCATTTAAAACCATCAGTTGTTAATGTTAAGAAATTGAGAGATCAGTAAATGTAATGAAGAGGAAGCTTGTGCAGAATTTGCTCCTTATCCTCCATAGCCGTGTGTGAGTGAGGCTGCTCCTGAATGCTGATGTATCCTCTGCAGTGCTTCTCTCCCCCACCTCCCCCGAAGGCTGCGGGAATGGGGTGTGTGTTGGGGGTAACAGTTTATGAAACTTAAGTATAAATTTAAAATAAGAACAATATTTAATAAGACTTAGTTTGGTTTCAGTACCCCAATCTTGTCTCTGATCTTCATCAAAACTTCTGTTTATGGTGATTTTTTATTTTAAGTTAATATGAAGGAAAGTCAGCTTTTTCTTAACCTCCTCTGTCTACTCCTTGATTGTCAGCTGCCTATCTTCAACCAGTTTCCTTTACCACAGGAGAAAGAAGATGTCCCTGTGGAAATGTCAAATGGTGAACCAGGTTGCCACTACTTTGAGCAGCTCCGTTATAATGACATGTGGCTAAAGGTTGGCGATTGTGTCTTCATCAAGTCCCATGGCCTGGTGCGCCCTCGCGTGGGCAGGTGGGTGTACTGAAGCAGGGAGGATGCAGTTGGGTCTGAGAGATTTGGAGCAGGTAGAAATTCATCACTCTTTAGGATGAAGTCAAAAGTCGTCATCATCCCCCCCCCACAATCCTGTAACTTCCCCAGCTTCCTCACACATACTTGCCCTGCTTTGGTCTCTAGCCACACTTCCTTCTTTAAATCCTTCCTGTGAACTTTTCTTTTCTTCTCCTACCATTTACTGAATTCTCAACCCAGAAATCTCCCTGCCTACCTCACATGATGAACTCCTCTAGCTTAAATTTGAGATAGCACTTCCTTAAGGAAGCCTTTCCTGGCCCCTGCAGACTGGATTAGGTCTCTTCATTACTCTCAGAGCACATATCAGGTTATTTTACTGTTGGGTTTCCAGACTGGACTGCAAATGCCCTGAGAGTAGGGACCCTGTCCTTTTGCTTACTTTTGTATTCCCTGCTCCAAGCACGATGCATGAAACATGGTAAGGGCTCAGATATTTGTTGAACGAGTACATGAATGAAAGTATGGTTGCATGGCGTAAAACGGCAGTGAAGGAGTCAGGTGTGGGACTGGGCAGTAGAGGATGGTGATTAAGAGTTGTGGGTCTTGGTGTGAGTTCCAGCCCTGCTAGCTGCATGTCCTTAGGCAAATGATTGACTTTTCTGAGCTCCAGTTTCCTCATTCCATTTTTTCTTCATTCAGTAATCATTTATTACAAACTTAGTATTTGCCAGGCAGTGAGGATACATTAGTGAATAAAACAGACAAATATCCTTAGTCCCATGGATCTTTGTTGCAGTGGGAAGACAAACAATAAACATTGTGAATAAGTAAAGGGTACAGAACATTAGGTCATGATATGTGCTGTGAAAAAAAAGAGTATGGGGAATCAGGAGTGCACAAAGTGAGGAGGTGCAGAAGTTTAAATAGGGTGGTGTATATAGGCCTCACTGAGAGCTGATAGTTGAGCTAACACTTGAAGAAACTGAGGGAGTGAGGATTGTGAATATTCAGAGAGAAAGCTTTCCAGGAAGCGAGAACAGCCAGTATGAAGACCTGAGAGAGAAGTGTGCCTGGCCTGTCCAGATTTGGATGGTTTGTTGCCGGGGGAGTGAGCAGTGCATTGAGTTAGACAGGTCATGAGGGCCACAGCACACAGTGCCACTCTGGTGGACCTCAGGGACCGTTGTCAACGTGTGGGCTTTTACTGAATTAAAGGGAGTACCACTGGATTCTTTATTTATTTTAAAGATTTTATTTTTGTATTTGAGAGAGAGAGCACAAGCAGGGGGAGAGGCAGGCAGAGGGAGAAGCAGACTCCCTGCTGAGCAGGGAGCCCAGTGGGGGACTCGATCCCAGGACCCTGGGATCAGGACCTGAGCCAAAGGCAGACGCTTAACCGACTGAGCCACCCAGGTGCCCCCATTGGATTCTTTCAGACATAGATGTGACATCTGAATTAGTTCTTAGCCCGATGGCTCTGCCTTCTGATTGCTGAGAATAGACTAAAGGGTCGGGGCGCTTGGGTGGCTCAGTCAGTTAAGCATTTGCCTTCAGCTCAGGTCATGATCCCAGGGTCCTGGGATCCAGCCCCGCATCAGGCTCCTTGCTCAGTGGGGAGCCTGCTTCTCTCTCTCCCTCTGCCACTCCCCCTGCTTGTGCGCGCTCTCGCTCTCTCTCTCTCTCTCTCTCTCTCTCTCTCTCTCTGACAAATAAATAAAATCTTTAAAAAAAGAAAAATAAGAGGGGCGCCTGGGTGGCTCAGTCATTAAGCGTCTGCCTTTGGCTCAGGCCATGATCCCAGGGTCCTGGGATCGAGCCCCACATCGGGCTCCCTGCTCGGCGGGAGGCCTGCTTCTCCCTCTCTCACTCCCCCTGCTTGTGTTCCCTCTCTCGCTGTGTCTCTCTCTGTCAAATAAATCAAAAAAATCTTTAAAAAAAAGGAAAAGGGTCAAAGAGAAGCAAGGAGATCTGCTAGGAGGCTATTGCAATAATCCAGGCAACAGTGATTGCTGGCTCAGGCCAGCAGTCAGATCCTGTTGTGAAAGGTTGAATTAATAGGATTCCTGATAAATGGGATGTGGGGTCCGAGAGAGAGAGAGAGAAAGGGGGCGGGGGGGAGTCAAGGGTGACTTCTGTGTGTTGGCCTAAGGAACTGAAAGGGTGGAGTTACCATGAACTGAGATGAGGATGTTGCTTCATGTCAGGAACCACAAGACAATGGGGACATTAATAATCCCAACTTGCTGGGGGTGGTTATGAAGAATTGTGTAATACCTGACACAGAGCAGTCAGATATGCATTTTTATTTTTGTCTAGGGAGATAGTATCTGACTCTCATCAGATTCTCAATGGGTGAAGGGCTATTTATTATATCTTGACACTCAAAAAAAGTCATGAACCATTGCCTTAAAGGAATATCTGTGACTCATGTGAGCTGACCCCAAATATGGATGGTTTGTTTATTCGGCTGAGTCTGATGACAGATGCTTAGTTTTGTTTTTTGTTTTCATCATGAGCATTTCAGGAAAAAAAAAAAAACCTGGAGGTTAGCTGAAACCATTAAGTCATATGCCTTGGTATTGTGTATTTTTTCCCTCAGATGAATAGCCAGTGTCTGTCTCCCTTTCCAGATGTCTTCTCCTGTGCTCAAAGGGGGGAAAAGTCAGGGAAATGGTCTTATTGTCAAAATAGTCAACAAAACTCCTCTAAGTAGTAAATATCATAAAGGTTTTGGTTAACAGAATTTCTGATAGATTAATCCTTCAAGAATGAAACTGATCAGAATTCTATTGTAATGGAATTTCTCCATTTTTCCCCCAAGAATTGAAAAGGTATGGGTCCGAGATGGAGCTGCATATTTTTATGGCCCCATCTTCATTCACCCAGAAGAGACGGAACATGAGCCCACAAAAATGTTCTACAAAAAAGAAGTGTTTCTGAGTAATCTGGAAGAAACCTGCCCCATGACATGTATTCTGGGTATGTATTTTTGCCTTTTCATTTAATCACATCCATTCTACAACAATTGATTGAATACTCCCTGTGTTAGGCACTGTTCTAGGTGCTAGGTATACAGCAATCAACAGACCACAATGTCTGCTGTCTTAGAGACTTAACAACGGGCCAGAGGTTGGGGAGTCAGTAAATAAAGTCTGTAGGACACCAGGTAGTAATTAGAGCTATGAATAAGAGTAAGGCAGAGAAAGAGGACAGAGGGTAATGTTGAGGGGAGGTCTTGTTTTAGGTAATGTGGTCACCAAAAGCCTTTCCGATAGGTTACGTTAGCCCTGAAGGCAGTGAGGAGGAAAACCATCCGAATACAGGCATGCCCCGTTTTCTTGCTTTATTGCACTTCACAGATGCTGTTTTTTACAAATTGAAGGTTTGGCAGTCCTGTGTCAAGCAAGTCTGTTGGTGCCATTTTTCCAGCAGCATTTGCTCACTCATGTCTCTGTCACATTTTGGGTAATTCTCACAGTATTTCAGACTTTATTACTATTATATTTGAGATGCTGCAATCTCACGATAAAACTTTGATAGCTGAGGAATTGCTTTTTATGGGTGAGCAAAGACAGTGGTTTCTTGGTAAGGAATCTACTCATGGTAAAATTGCTATGAAGGTTGTTAAAATGACAACAGAGATTTCAAGTATCACGTAAATTAGTTGTTAAAGCACCAGCAGGATTTGAGAGGATTGACTCCCAAGTTTGAAAGAAGTTCAACTATGGGTAAAATGCCATCCAAACAGCATCACATAACTACAGAGAAACCATTTGTGAAAGGAAGAGTCAATCGATGTTGCAAACTTCACTGCTGTCTTATTTTAAGAAATTGCCACAGCCACCCCAACCTTTAGCAACCACCATCCTCATCAGTCAGTAGCCATCATCATCCAGACAAGACCCTCCACCAGCAAAAAGATGGGGACACCTGGCTGGCTCAGTCAGTAGAACATATGACTCTTGATCTCAGGGTTTTGAGTTCAGGCCCTAGTTGGATGTAGTGTTCACTTAAAAAAAAAAAAAAAAAATTACAACTTACTGGAAGCTCAGATGATGGTTAGCATTTTTTAGCAATAAAAAGTTTTTTAACTGTAGTACGTACATTGTTTTTTAGACATAATGCTATTGCACACTTAATGGACTACAGTATAGTGTAAACATAACTTTTATATATAGTGGGAAACCAAACAATCATTTGACTTACTTTGTTATGATACTCACTTTATTGAGGTGATCAGGAACTGAACCCACAGTATCTCCAAAGTATACCCGGATCTGAGATTTTACTCCTTTTACACACAGCAAATGTGAAATGCAAAGCCCTTAAGGCATAGTATCTGGGCATGTTTGAGACACAGGAAGAGAGCTGGTGGCTGGGCAAACAGTCACAGTAGGTCTGCTAGACTGTGCTGAGATTGAGTTTGGAGCAGATAGGAAGCCCTGGTTGTGAGTAGAGAGGTGGTGTGAGCCAGCATATGTACTGGAGGAATCACTGTGGCTGGAGTATGGAGGATATGTGAGAATAAGGTAGGAAGCAGGGGGAGGAGTTAAAAGACTTCTACAGTTTCCTTTGTACTCTTAACCCTAGTAATGTTATTGTCCCTGATCCAGAAATGTGCAGGGCACATGTTATGGTTTCTGTTCAGTCATCCTCCTGAGTGTTCACATGCACTCTGCTTCTCAAATGTAGTTATATGCATCACAGACTGTCATTGCTTTCAGCTGTTGTGTTTCTTCTTGCCCTGAATTAGTGCTACAACTTACTTGCAAACCAGCTATTCTTCCCATCTTTTGGAATAGTTTTCCAAAATGTTACTAGGTACAAGCTTTATAATGATTACACGTGGTTATAAAGAAGCAGCCACCATGCTTATGGCTAAGAGGAAATAAGTATTTTACACTTAGACTTTATTTAATCACTAAGTTGACCTACATTGTTCTGGTGCTTTGAATTTTTTCAGAATTAGATATGGTAAATGTGTTCCCTCTCTCGTTGTGTCTCTCTCTGAATGGCTGATAGTTCAACACGTTTTCCTCTTTGTAACGTGGTGCACCCTGGGGAGAGGGAGCAAAGGCTCGTGAGGTTAAGTCCTTCTTTAGTTTCTGCAGCAGAGACTATCTTCCTTTTAACTCATGATCCAGACTAAAGAAGTGCCCTAAAGCCTTAATCCCTAGGGTAAACCCAGCCACAAGACTCAAAGGGAGCATAGCAAAGGTGAGACTGAATTCTCCTTTGTTAGGGTGACCATATCATTTATTGCTTTTTTTTTTCTTAATGGTTACCCTGGGAATTTCATCTTAAATTTGTGGCAGTCTAGTTTGAATCAATACTGCCTTAGCTGCTGCTTTTTTTTAAGATTTTATTTATTTATTTGAGGGAGAGCATGAGACGGGGGAGGGTAGAGGGAGAAGCAGACTCCCTGCTGAGGAGGGAGCCCAATGAGGGATTTGATCCTGGGACTCCAGGATCATAACCTGAGTCAAAGGCAATCACTCAACCAACTGAGCCACCCAGGCGCCCTGCCTTAGCTTATATTGTATATTAAACTCTGTTTCTCTAGAGCACCATCCCTCCCCCTTTGTGTTATTGTCAGAAATCATATCTTTATACTGTGTGTGCCCTCACTGACATGAATTTCTAATTATCGCTTTATGCATTTGTCTTTAAAATCATATAGGAGGGAAAAAAGGAGAATTAGAAACTGGAAATACAATATTGGCTTTTATATTTACATATGTGGTTACCTTTATTGGTGTTTTTTGATTTTTTTGTATGGCTTCACATCATTATCTGATGTCCTTTCATTTCAGCCTGAAAGACTCCCTTTAGTATTTCTTGTAGAACAGATCAACTAACAACAGACTCTCTTGTCTTTTGTTTATCTAGAAGTGTCTTGATTCCTCTATATTTGAAGGGTAATTTTGCTATTTTGCTATATAGAATGCTCCATTGACAGTTTTTTCTGTCATGCCTTCCATCAAATTTAGGGAGTTTTTTGTCTTCACGTATTCTTTCTTCTCCTTTCTCTCCTCCATCTGAGAGTCCCGTTAGGCCTGTGTTGGTGTGCGTAATGGTGTGTCACAGGTTTCGCAGACTGCTCGTGTTTATTCTTTCTTCTTTCTGTTCCTCAGACTGATCATTTCAGTTGGCTTGTCTACGAGTTCACAGGTTCTTCTGCCTGTTCAAATCTTCTAATGAAGATTTTCATTTTAGCTGTTATACTTTTCAGCTCCAGCATTTTTTTTCTTTTTTTTTTTTTAAGATTTTATTCATCTGAGAGAGAGTGCACACAAACATGGGGGGAGGGGCAGAGGGAGAGATAGAAGCAGACTCCCCACTGAACAGAGAGCCTGATGGTGGCTCAACCCCAGGTCTCTGGGATCATGACCTGAGCCGAAGGCAGACGCTTAACCTACTGAGCCACCCAGGCGCCCTTCAGCTCCAGCATTTCTATTTAGGCTTTCCAGTTCTTGTCTCATTCTTGATAATCTCTATTTGGTGAGTCAGCATTCTGATTTCCTTTAGTTGTTTGTCCGTGGTTTGCTTTAGCTCTCTGAGCATATTTAAGACAGTTGATGTAAAGTGTTTGGGCTTTTCCTGGGATGGTTTCTGTTCATTTCTTTTTATCCTGTGAGTGGGCCATACTTTCCTGTTTCTTTGCATGGCCTCATAATTTCTTATGAAAACTGGGTATTTTGAATATCATAATGTGATACCTCTGGAAATTGGATTCTCCCCTTTCCTCAGGTTTTATTCTTATAGCTTATTGGGGGGTCATAGTTGCTCATTTAATGACTTTTCTAAACTAGTTTTTTAAACTGTGTTTGCTGAGGCACCTGGGTGGCTCAGTCGTTAAGCATCTGCCTTTGGCTCAGGTCATGGTCCCAGGGTCCTGGGATCGAGCCCCGCATCGGGCTCCCTGCTCAGCGGGAAGCCTGCTTCTCCCTCCCCCACTCCCCCTGTTTGTGTTCCCTCTCTCACTGTGTCTCTCTCTGTCAAATAAGTAAATAAATAAAATTAAAAAAGTAAATAAACTGTGTTTGCTGTTGTGTGTGGTCACTGAAGTCTCTGATCTGTTAGCTTTGTGGTCAGCTACTGATTTAATAGAGATTTTCTTAAATGCTTGGATAAAAAAAAAAAATTTCCCGGTCTCTGCAGCTCGAGGCTGTGTCTGTGTTGGAACACACTTTCATCACTCAGCCTGAAGTTTACAACTCTGCCTTTTCCTTTGCTTCCTGTTTGCACAGGGCTTGACAGTCAGCCAGAGGTGAGAGTTTAGGGCTTTCAGGTCTTTTCTGAGCATGCGTCCTGCCCATGGCATGTGCATGGCTTTCTAGATTCCCCGGGATATGTGGAAGCTTTCCAAAACTCTTATTCCCCAAAGTATCTCACTGCCCAGCTTTTTCTGCCAGGCTTTTCCACATTTATACTGTTTGCCCCAACTGATAACCTTTGTTCCAGCTGGCACCATCTGGTTCATTTGCCTTCAGGTGTTTTCAGCAGAAGTATCATAGCCACTTTCCTGCCATCATGAGACTGCAAGTTAGGTGGAATAAAGGCAAACCCTTCGCGTTCGTCCCTGAGGAAGCCAGCCGTGTTGGTCAAAACAGGCAACCAAATTCTTTGAGAACAAGGACTGCTCTGCTCCCTCCGGCACCAGAAACTCCCACCAGGAGTGCGGGCTGTCATCTTCCTGACTGCTGCTGAGCCAGAGGGGGGTGAGGGGGTGGGGCAAGGGTAAGTTAAAATGCCACAAAGCTCACCTGCCCACTTGGCAGTCACTTTTTTTCTTGATTAAGCATTCACGTAGTTGTTTGGCTGTTTTCCAGAGTTCCAGTAATGTTGATTCTGACAGTTTCTGCTGGCTTTTCTCATTGTTTCTGTGAGAGCATGGCTCTTGGCTCTCCCTACTTCACCGTTTTCACCGACATCATTTGGAGTAATTCCTTTTTATAGATACCTATGAGAATGTGTTG